ATCAAGATTTCGACTTGTTTTAGTTGCAACTTAAACTTCTACTTTTTTATTTATTTTAGCATCAGCAGGTTGACTGGGTCCAGTAGGCGTTGTGCATTAAGACGCCTCGACAATTAAAATTTGGTGCAAAACTGAAAACGCAAATTCGACACTCAGGTGCATGCTTTACGACAGGGTGCTAGCAGTGAACAAGAGACATTTTTGTACGAATCAGAGAGGCAGTAAAACACGATGACTTTAAATACTTTATTTTACATGAATATACAGTGTATGTTCACATGTTCACAAAACAAGATAAAATAGTAGCGTGAACGCGATTGTTCAGAATTTTCGGCAAATTGTATTCAATGGATTGCAACTTTTATTCATCGCAAAACCGTGGTACAAAGCAAGGTTCAGACTAAGGTTCAGGCTTTCCGAAACGCACAGGGGTTTCAAGGTGTTATGAGGTCGGTGCTGATACAAGGAGACCTTTTTTTTTTTTTTTTTCCAAAACGAAACATTTGGAAAACATGGTATTCATAGTATCGATCTGCCATATGTGATCTGGTACTTATATGAAGTAGTCAGTCAGAGGGATGATCGAGCCGTCTGCGTGCATAGAGATGGGAGCCTATAATATGTAAAGCATGAGCGCTGCATACATGCTCCGCCGACGCTGTAACGAGTTAACGGGTCTTACATGGCACCAGGCAATTCAGTTTCACAAGGGATGTCCGAGCTCCACATGTCGTGTATAGGTCAAGCTATTAGCACAACATTGTACAAAGCGATGGTTCCTATGCCAGTGAAGTGCTATTTGATTAGGTGTGCATCTATTGTTTCTGCTGGAATCAATCAGCATATCTTGCGTCAAAACGCGGTTTGTTCACCAAATACATGCTGCCTCGCATATATTGTCTGTTAGATCTAGTTACTATTGTGTCTAACAAGAAAAAATGAGCCCTTAAGTATACACTTCTTTCACTCACAAACACGCCCACACACGCGCTTCAGGTTTTTAGCTTTTCCCTATATCGCGAACCAACAGATTGACAAAAATACTTCTGTTACCGGAGCGATCAGCCGCGCCACTGTAAAGTCGGCCCTTACTTTTTAAAGACGATAGTCTTTCTTGGGGACCTTCGACGCAAAAATTTTGGTCTCTCTGTCTGTATGTCTGCACATTTGTCTGTTTGTCCACCATAACGGTACTCTAAACGGCACCTAAGTGACCAAACGACACTCCAAACGGCCGACCCCATCCGCAGCGCCCACCAATATTTCTCAAGGTTCAGCGTTCATACTTGTGCGATTGTAAATTAGCAATTAATACGCATATCTGAGGCACCATAACAAAAAGTCAATATTATGTGTGTATTTTGTACTAGAAAAGGCATGCATCAGTAATTTTAAGGATCGTAGCCTTTATAATGCTGCGCTGGCCATGAAGCACTTGCACGAAATGGAAAGTGTTTCCAACGCTTTGCTAAGACGACACGGTGACGGCACTTACCCGTCGCCTTGCGTTCTACACCTTGTCACCTCAGAGACAGGCGTGCACGGCGCGCGCCCCGTTTTCCAGTATAACTGACACATAGCGCTCATGTGTCACGTGTGACGTGACTTGATGCGCTCGTTTGCCTCCGCTGCACGCTCGAGGCACTCTAACGCAGTGCCTTTAGAATACCATTCACCGATTTTCTTGCGCATAACATCAAATAAACGTTTTGTTCACTCTCTCCAGACGCAAGACTATCGTCTTTCGACGACATTTGCAGTGTAACATGCAGATACAGGGCCAATTTTTATATTCGAGTTTTGTCATAGAACATCACCTCCTCGAGTAAGTGCCAACTCGCACTAAAAAAAAACTAATTCTAGAACGTGAACACGATAGCAAAGCAACTAGGAAACAAATTGGATAAAACCATATCAATTAATTTGGTGACAATTGTTGACACAGTGCTGGTTTAATGAATGTGGCTCAATTTGATTGAAAGAGTTGCAGCATTTGGCTAATTTTTTATGAGAACCTACCTTTTTAACTTCACGTTACAATCAGGCATGGCCCCAGTTTGATTCAAACTGTTTTATAAGTTAATGATACTTACAGGCATGCTTCAAATTACTGCGAAATTTAGCTCAGTTTCGGTTTCTGCATATGGCTCTTAAAAAAAAAAAAAAAGATCCACACTTAATCTCTCACTCAGAGTAACAGAGCGACCTGTTAATGGGCCATACTTGACTGTCCTCACAAGGAAATGTATCCTGCTTTATCTTTGCCTCGCTGTTCTGTTCGAGAAAAGCTGGATCACAACACAGTTCAAAGAGGAACGCAGTGGCTAAGTTTTCGCCGCTGTGTGTTGCATTCCGACTCAACGCAAAGCAGTTGCTACTGATTCGGATCACTTCTTATTATCGTTAGCCATGGCGTGACAGCGTTATATCGTTAATGAAAACTCTAACCTTATCAGGTACTCGCAATGGCGTGAAGCTTGGCCTGCCCACCAAGAGAGTTGAAGTATAGCGCTGAATCAGTGAGTAATTTTCTTAGAAGCATTTGCCGAGACACTGATCAAACGAAAGGTAAATAACGCAAGTATAAAGGTGGCCATCGAATACAATTTCCTGGGTTGCCATGGCGGCCAGTTTTTTAGTTTTACATCTTTGTTTGTGCGTGTTATAAGAACTCCGACTTCAGAGTGATAGGATGCTAATATATATATATATATATATATATATATATATATATATATATATATATATATATATATATATATATATATATATATATATATATATATATATATATATATATATATGTTCTGTTGGCTTGCTTTGCAAGCCATACGCAGGAGTGGGTTGCACAAAAAGCTAAAAGAAACAAAAGTAACGAGCTGTGAATACACATTGTGAGAAAAAGAAAAAAGGAAAAAATGTTAAGAGTTAAACAAAAAATGTCTTGATCAGTATTTACAGCTTGTGAAATACTGGAAGCAGTATAAAAAAAAATGCAAAGTGTTGCAGGTGAAAATGCCGGCAAGCAAATAACAGGGATAAAAAAATAACCGAACAAAAGAAACAAACCGTAGCTAAAGAAAGTAGTGACAGAGGAATGAAAAAAAAAGAAAAAAAAACGTGACAAGAATGCGCAAAACAGCACTTGATTACTGAGCGCTCAGCTCAGCAACAAAAAGAATATGTTTGTGTTGAAACACCTTGTGTCATAGATTAGTAAGAGAATGGACAAAAGACGTCATGGTTGGGCTCTGCAGTACATGTTCAGACAATGCATTCCATTCATGGATGGCACGAAGAAAAAAAGATTGAAGATGTTGGTTCGGCAGGAATATTCAGTTAATTTGAGCGAATGAGATGAGAGAGTAGGGCGCCGGTCACACGGTTTGATGTACAAGTCCTTGTCTAATTAACGTGTTCATGGTGAAGTAGGTATAATATTTTAAGTCTTTCTCAATGGCGACGTGTCTCTAGAGGTTCAAGGTTCGCGTATTGTAGTAAAGCACTTACGGATGTGTGACGATGATGGGAATTGAAAAAGAATCTGGCTGATTTTTGTTGTATGCTCTCGATTTCACTTGTGGTTGACTGGTTGAAGGGACCGCAGACAGGAGCAGCTTATTCTAACATTTATATGCTACCTCTAGGTACCTGAAGATAGCATATACAGTAACTCTAGCTGACTGGCTCGCCCTACGCCATCTCCTGACGCCGACAAGAGCTCTCGCCGAAAGGTGCCCTGTCCTCGGACTCCTGCGACCGTGTCCATCTTTCCTATCTCCTCCTTACTTCCGTATGTGGCTGTCCCTGCGCCTCGCTCTCTCTAACACTATACCTTTTAATCCCATTCTTTTGATCCCTCCTTACCCCTCATCCCTCGTAAGCTACTGTTGAGGTGTCCTCCCCCTGAGAGACAGTTACGGGGCTCACTTTTCTCTTGTTTTAAGAATCACTTGTGTGTGGGTGGGGGGGGGGGCACAGTTTTGACAGATACAAACTTGTCCTGTGCGTGCTGTGCTGTCAAATACTTTTCACCCAGGAATGACGTCGCTGCTCGTTGCCGTGAGTGGTTGGTGCGTGTGGTGGTTCTTGGGCCCTCAGACGCAGAAACCCAAGACAAGGACAAGAGAAACATCTATTGACTTCACACACAAAACAATCACAACACTGTGGCTATCTGTACAACACACTGGCTCCGTAATTCAGTCCTACAGTCCTTATGTCTACGCGCCCGCGAGTAACCCACGCGTCCTCACTACTCGGAAGTCTAATTCCGTCGGTGCCGCTCACGCTCCCGCTGAAGACGATGGTGTCGACGACGCAACCTCGCCACGGGAAGGTTGCCAAGTGCACGGGAGCTCACGAGCAGACCATCAGCTGCTCGGGCTGGATCAGGCAGCCTCACGCTGCGGCCGACGCAACACCGAGGTCGCACCTTCAATTGGCGGTTGTGCCGGACCGGCTCCGACGTGGCACCGTGGCCACGATCTCGGTGACTGGTTGTGCCGGACCTGAGTCTGGACAGGATCAGCCGCTTGCCCTGGCCCGCACGCTCGTCCGCCACAGGAACAGCATGTCAGGCCCGCCCTGGAACCGCCACTCGCCTCAGGAACATGCCACGCTCGTCCCGGTTGGGTTGGTGACACCCGCTCGTTGGTTCGGTCCCCTGAGGCCCAACGCCTAGCGCTCTTGCTAGCTGGCCGCGTTCTTCCTCTGCCCGTCGCTGTTCCGAATTTCACGCGCTCGCGTTCGTCTGACCCCGTGCACACTTCGTCTTCGTCGGTTATTTTCCGCTATCGTTTTCACTTCCAGTTTCGATTTTGGTTGTGAGAAGCACTCTTACCACACTCCCCCCAACTTCCAGTACGTTGTACACACGTAACACACAGTTCCCAAAGATAACAAAGGTTCCGCACACTTTAAATGTCACAGTTTAGATGTAAAAAAAAAACCAATTGCACTATGATGACAACATGATAAAAAAAATTGTGTACAACGGCAATAAGTCACTGCTCGGTAAAAGCCGCACGACTCATATAGTCGGCACCAACGTTGTTCACACCACGAATGTGTTCCACGTGAAAGTCATATTCCATAAGAAGGAGACTCCACCGCAGGACTCGATTATTTAGGTGCCTAGCTGACTGAATATAAGTCAATGGCTGGTGGTCACATTGCAACGTGAACGGCTTGCCATAGAGAAAAATGTGGTATTTGCGAACAGCCCAGACTACGGCAAGGCCTTCTCTTTCAATTGTGGAGTAGGCTGCTTCGCGGGGTAGTAATTTACGGCTCGCGTAGGAAACTGGGTGCAGACGGCCTTGGTGTTCCTGGAGCAATACTGCTCCTAAGCTCCGCGAAGACGCATCCGTGCGCAGAACAAATGGCTTATGCAAGTCGGGTGACTTCAGCACAGGCTGCGTGGACAATAGATTCTGCACTTGTCGAAACGCTCTCTCATGTTCTTCACCTCTGAGATACGCATGTAGATGTCTCGGGTATTCTGCCCAATGTCGAAATAAAACGTCTTGTTTTCTACACGCATGTGGCGCCCTTCAGGTAGTTCTCCTTTGAAAGCTCCGTCGTCCGTGCCAAACTCTTCTAGTAAGTCCGTGAGCGCGTCGCGGAACTCGATCATACCCTGTGCAGGGATGGCGATCTGGGACCTAGGACCACCTCGTGCTATCGTCTGGGACACCCTTAGAAACCGCCCCCTGGAGTTTTCCTTGAGATCCAGGTAGTAGCGCCTATTGTCCTTAATCATTATCTCACTTTTCAACTTGCCATCCTCAGGCAGTTTCTCTGGATTGGGGGGACCCAGGGAAGCGTACAGCTCATTGAAGGATGTCGGGTGGTCCCGGAACTCAGCCGCTGTTGACATGGCGAGGAAGAGACGACTTTTCCTACCCACTACCCCGACCTGTTGCACCTCGGCCACCTTGATGACGCGGCCCCGGCGGTTCTGCTTGACGTCCAGGTAAAACCTCTTGGACTGGATCTGGAGCATCTTGGTGGCCAGCTCCTGCTCACTATTGATAGCATTCCCTTTGCTAGAGTCTGTGCATGGTGCACGCCTTGTTTCCACGTGGCCATGGTCATGCTGTGGTGCTGACTCATTCATAGGTAACGTATCCGGCACTGCCGCGCCCTTGATGTTGCCCAAAATTACGTCGTATAATGGGTCGGTCATACACTTAACGAGTACTTCCCCAGTAAACAATGTACATTGCAAAAGGACTTTTGCCTCTGGGAGGTATCGCACAGTACGGTCCAGTAAGTACACTGGGCTCGTCGTTCCCGTGAACTTCTCCTTCGGAACCAAGGATTGCCGCACGACGACCGTGTTGCAGCCGGTGTCTCGAAGCACATGCACTGGTCTGTCCTCTAGGAACCCCTCCACAACAGGCATGTCAGCGACTCCAACGTTCGCGGATCGTCGACTTGCTGTGGCATTGACGATGGGTATTGTTCCGCCGTCTTGGAGAACAATGTAGCCACTCTTATGGTGTTCAGGTGTCAAGTCTTCGCGTTTTTCCGATAGCATACATGATGCCTGGTCTTTGCCAAATTTTCTACCGGGGCATCTGTCACTGCTGTCTCTACTTTGTTTGCATACTCCGCATCGGCTGAAGGTATTCCCTTTCGTGCGGGACCAGCAGTCGGCTGCGCGATGGCCTGCCTTGTCACAAAGGAAACAGCGACTTGCAGGCTTCTCCGTCTTCTTCGCGGACTCCGGCTTGGACACCGAAGGTCCCGGATCCTTGGGAATCCGTTCTCTTCCTAAGTTTGTGAGCGCCTGTGCTTCCATGAAGTTATCGGCAGTCTCGCAAAGCGAACTCAGGGTTTTGCAACTTCTCTCCTTGAGAAAGATCCTGAGTGCCGGAGAACAACCCTTCATGAATTGCTCACTTATCATCAGATCTCGCAAGCTAGCAAAGCTTGTCTCCGTTTTTCCCACTTCAAGCCAACGGTCAAAGTAGCCGGAAAGTCTTGCAGCATACTGCAGACCAGTCTCGTTTTCTTCGGGCTTCGCTTTACGAAATTTTTTCGCGGTAGCCTTCCGCAGTATAGCGGAACCTCTGAAGAAGCGCCGCTTTCAGCTGATCATAATTCAGCACAGCTGTTGGATCTAACCGGCCTGTGACTGTTAGCGCTTCTCCTGTCATGCATAGGCTAAGCGAAAGAGCCCACTTTTCACGCGGCCACCCTTGACACGTGGCGACCCGTTCAAATCGCTGCAGGTACGCGTCGAGGTCGTCCCGAGCCTCATTGAAGGGCGGAATAAGTTTAGGAGGACTGCAGACCTCTGTTATTCCTCTGGCGCTCATGCTGGATCCTCCCTGTTCGTCAGCCACCATTGGCTGTACCCTGCTTGCGCTCTCCTGAAGTCGAAGCTTCAGTTCGAGGATCTTCAGCTCTTGTTCCTGCACCTTCTGCTGCTGCTCTAACAGCTTCTGCTGCCTCTCAGCGTTTTCTTTCGCGATCTCGCGCTCCCTAGCACGCTCATCTCGAGCTTCAACGCACTCTCGCTCAACCCACTCTCTGAGCTCCTCGTTCTCCAACCCTAGCTGTCGGCCAAGTGCAATAAATTTCTCCCTGTCCATGACAAAGGCTGCGTCTGAGTAATGGCTTTAGATTTTAATAAGCCATCCTGGCAGGCTCGCCAATTGTGGTGGTTCTTGGGCCCTCAGACGCAGAAACCCAAGACAAGGACAAGAGAAACATCTATTGACTTCACACACAAAACAATCACAACACTGTGGCTATCTGTACAACACACTGGCTCCGTAATTCAGTCCTACAGTCCTTATGTCTACGCGCCCGCGAGTAACCCACGCATCCTCACCACTCGGAAGTCTAATTCCGTCGGTGCCGCTCACGCTCCCGCTGAAGACGATGGCGTCGACGACGCAACCTCGCCACGGGAAGGTTGCCAAGTGCACGGGAGCTCACGAGCAGACCATCAGCTGCTCGGGCTGGATCAGGCAGCCTCACGCTGCGGCCGACGCAACACCGAGGTCGCACCTTCAATTGGCGGTTGTGCCGGACCGGCTCCGACGTGGCACCGTGGCCACGATCTCGGTGACTGGTTGTGCCGGACCCGAGTCTGGACAGGATCAGCCGCTTGCCCTGGCCCGCACGCTCGTCCGCCACAGGAACAGCATGTCAGGCCCGCCCCGGAACCGCCACTCGCCTCAGGAACATGCCACGCTCGTCCCGGTTGGGTTGGTGACACCCGCTCGTTGGTTCGGTCCCCTGAGGCCCAACGCCTAGCGCTCTTGCTAGCTGGCCGCGTTCTTCCTCTGCCCGTCGCTGTTCCGAAACTCACGCGCTCGCGTTCGTCTGACCCCGTGCACACTTCGTCTTCGTCGGTTATTTTCCGCTATCGTTTTCACTTCCAGTTTCGATTTTGGTTGTGAGAAGCACTCTTACCACAGTGCGCCTTCTGATGCGAGAACAAGTCTACAGAGACGGCCGAAAGGTACCGCCCGTTAAGCGCAAGTAGTTTCGACAAAAGACATTGTTGTATAGAATCGGAAGTGATAACTTCAAGCTGATGTGTTCTGACACACTTTGTGAAGTAAGTTGCGCGTCTGTCACTATTAGTATGGTATGATGTTTGCTCAATTCAAGGCCTGCTCAAACGGCGTAAACAAGTCACAATTAATTGTGCTGGACGTCTCTATCTTTCACGCAGGTTTCATTAAAGCTTCTGTGGGGGCTGTTTTTGTTTTTTGTCGACAATACATGCTTACGTGTTCTGCTTGTCGCTATATGGCATCTGGTAAGTTCGGGGTGCTGGTTTGTGCGCTAAGCATGTACGCGGAAAGACGCTCAAAATTGTGAGAGTGTAACTTCATAGATTTCGCACTGCTTTTTCGAATAGACAAAACTGGGATGCAGCAACTCACATTAAGATTGGTACTCACTGTTGGTTTTGTTGCGTGCTCGTATATATTTGAGTGCACATTGCTCTCTGTGGCTCTTTTACCTTGACCGATCAGCCGCGGTGCTCGCAATGCGAGGGCAGCTATACAAAGCGTGCATGCATTCGAGTCGATGCGTGCATTGCTTAGGAACGTCACACATATGTGCCATTTCGCATGATAATATTTTTTTTTGCTATTTTTTGTATGAAGTTTACATTCGTGACTGGAGCTCTCGCAAAGTAATCACGTATGGTGACACGCTAGTTCATTCACAAGCCCGCTCATTCTTTCAACGATATGGTTCATGTGAAATACCAGGAGATACGTCCACCAGGCGCACTTCTGAAATATGATTGGTGCGTCTAACCACTTCACGCTGCTCGAATTTATCAACTATAAAGGATGTACGCCTTCTGACAAATGTCTTCGATGCCTCAGCAAATGCTAAAATTGGCCGTCGGCGACATCAATGTCCCGCGTCGACAGCGTCAACGTGAGTTGTTGCTTCCACTGCGTGAGTCACTGCTCTTTGCACATATTGTATATCCCAAATACGGCGAAGCGTGCACCACCCATGCGCTGTGTAAGGAAAGACAGTTGCTGTGTCCCTTCGGGTGCTATCGCGCCAGCTAATAGAAAGGCAAGCCGTAGTAGGTGCACATAAACGTTTGAGCGATATTATTCACAGTTTTAAACTTATCCAAAGGCACGCTAAACGATGGGCCAATAAAAGCGAGGGTTCTCACCAACATTCAATAACATTCTGCGTTTAAGAACGTGCATACTGAAAAGTGGTATGCACAAAGGCCTAATCACAAGTACGTGCTGCACGTGGCACTAAACAGAGCTGTCATGGGCCAACGTTACACTTGTTAAGCTAATTTCAGGTCGAGTTAGATGGCTGGTGCGAATGCTCTCGGCGCACTGCCTGTCGAGCAAGTTCTTTCGTTGCAAAAGGGCGTCTGCTGTGCAGGAAAAAGGGAGGTAGTGCCACATCAAGAAGCGAGTGCAAAAGAGCGGAGATTCAGGAGAAAAGAGAACAGAGGAGGAAAGTGTCTATACTTCGCAATGTTTTAAGGCATGGCCTCCGAGATTGCGGGCACGCGCGTCCGCTATCTTAGAGGTCATGTTTAGGGGCTTTTGGGAGCAAAGGAGACCACTGGAGAGGCCAGCGCTGCGGTGGCTGAGACCAGTGTTTCTAGATATATAAAACGTTGGCTGAGACGTAGCAAACATCACGGGACTTGCCTATGCTGTCGTCGGTGAAGCGCGCTTGCTTTCAACCCCGACTCAGTCCATTTTTAACTTACAGGTTTGTTTACATGCTCGTCGCCGCAGTGCCGGCCGCTTTCGAATGAGCCTTAATGTAGATGAGTCTTGCCAAAATGTCGTCTTACCAAAACAGCAGGGAGCCAAACCAAAAAGAACTATCGGTTAAGAAGAAGGTGAAAGAAACTGAGACCGACATGTGGAGAACTGGCATGATTAAGAAGCCCGCACTAGAAATCTATCGAACTTTTAAGCAGGAAATCGCCAAGGGAAGGATCTATGATAATACTTGGGGTAGTTCTCTACTGTTCGAGGCGATGACGGGAGTATTGCGAACCAAGACTGATCGAGCCAAATACAAAGGGGTAGACACGGCAGTGCGTGTGGAGAGGAGAAAGAAACTGCCGAACACTTGATAATGTTCTGTAAAGGGCTTCACCCTATAGTTCAGGATGATGGTGCAGAGTTTTTCAAAGCACTGGGGTTTAGCAACACCTCCTAAAAATTCTTCAGGCCTGCGCCCTCCGCCGTGACGTCACCAACAACCGTCCTACCAGTCCAATACTTCCTGACCGGTTTCGTCGCGCATTCCCGAATTCCCACTCGCTGCAGTGGTAACGGCCGTGCTGCACGTGTTTTTTTCGCGAGTCTGCCGAGCCATTTTCTTTGCGTTGTGTGCAGTGAATTTTACTGCCGGAATTTTATTGCACGAAGCTTCTGACATGCCCAATAAGTGCTGTGTGCCGGCATGTTCAAGTAATTAGAAGACCGGGAAGAAAGTTCAAGTATTTTCATTCCCCAAGGATGAAGTGCTAAGGAAGAAGTGGCT